TGGATCGAAATTGTGAAAAGCCACAAATTTCAGTCGAAGAGAATGGATATGTGCCAATCAAAATCCAAGGATTTACCGCAGATCATTCTAGAATCGATGTCCATTTTTGGTAAAATCCCTGACTGTAGTTGTAATAGAAATCCACTTTATAGGAAGTTGAATTGTAGGTCCAATTATATCATGTACGATTAATCTGATAAAATTTCTATTACTTAGATCATTGCCATATACTTCATCATTAAATCAATGTCGATTAATCATATTAATATGAAATCTTGTTATTGAAGTTACGCATATCACACGAAAAAAGTGTCTACAAACCCAACCTGAAATATTATATAGTTTACATGTACATTTATAATCACCATTTTCCAAAAGAAATATATAATTAGGTGAAGACTCATATTTCATATGTCGTACTTCCCATATTGAAACTAATTGATCATAAATATCTCTAAGAATCGCATTTGCATATCCTTGAGGTAAATCAAATATTTCATTGATACATCTATTCTCATATGAAAATTTAATATTAATATCTATTGTATTATATTCAATTTGTATTGCGTGATATAAAAAACTAAGGTTCATTTGTTCATGAATTTTCTCAGTTATTGCAAAAGTTACATGAATGCGAATCTCATTATCAATATCTTGAAATATTGTATTATATATATTAGGTGGTAATATTAATAGCATTGATTCTTTCTATGCTATAAATTTTTTATTATTTTGTCATTTCTTAAGTATTCGAGTTAAACTTGCACAAAGATCATTTAATGATACATATCGTCCATCTAAATCCTTTTTAATTACTTCATTAATACTTTCAATACGGTTTATTGATTGCATTCCTGCTGTGAAATATGAGCTAGTATAACATCTCGCCCATGATTCTTTACTTTCATATAATTGTTTAAGATAACCTATTATATTAGGATAATCTTCAATTAACTTTATATAATCATGCTCAAAATTTTTAATGCTAAGTTTATTACGACATTGAAAGAATTTTTTCGCAAATTCTTCATAATCACCATGTAATTTACTCTTCAAATTTTTGGGAATATTTTGACCAATATGCTATATGCAATGCAAATGTCTTGTTTAAGGATAAATTTGAGCAATAGCCACATCCATTGCAAGATCAGCATCTGTAATCACTACTGTCAGATAAATATCAAGTGCTTGTAATATAACCTTTAAGCTTCATGAATATGATTCTAAAGTTTCATCATCTAAAAATGCCTGTGCAACTGGTCTTATATTATAATTATTATCAACAATCACAAATATTGAAAGTGGTAAACCATATATATTCATTTTTACAGTATTATCATGTGCAATTACTGAACTATATCGAATATATAATTCAACTTGTTGTGGTTTCATCTATAAAATATGTGTAAGAGATCGTAATATTGAATCTAATTAATATTCTACAACCCATTTCAGATCATTAGCTTTTTTTTCCAATAAAGAATTAAGAATATTATATGCATCCTTTTTTGTAGGTTCTTTATGATGTCAGAACTTATAAATTGCATTATAAAGGTCTCGCTTAATAATATGACATTGATATTTGCCTATAAGTATTCAGTATTGTTTAGTTGCCTTAAGATCACCTTCAAGTGTCCAAAACTGTATATCGGCCAGCATATCTTCGATTAACTTCGAAATTGAAGTAATAAATTAACAGTTTGTGAATTAAGAGAGTGACTTTTATGCTCATCAATATATGTTGTTACTACATAAATTCCTTCACCTTTTTTATTGATATTGACTTGCTATAGGCAATTCACTTTACATGAAGTTCTATTATGCTGTTCATTAAGAGGTACAGTTTTGTTTGGTTTGTTTATGCCCGCATGTTTACATAAAAAGGTTCTTTTTGCAGCTTCCTCTATAACATAATGTTTCATTGACTAACCTTTTCTGTATCCAAATCCTTTTTGTAAACAAAAATCATTGAGAAATATTGTGACTTCTTGCCATAATACAAATATCTTACTAACATAAAGACCATCTGTTTCATTTTCAGTAAAATCTAACAAATCATCCTCATTTTCATAAATGTCTTCATTTTCATCAATAGAAGGATATGATACAAAATCTTCTTTTATACAAATGTTATTGGAATTCATTTCGTTATTCATGTACTTTGCAATTATCGTGAGAATTGAAAAATTGAAAAAAGGCTATTATTTAATCAACAATAACATAAAAATGACGTATTTCACGTGACTTTTATTTAACAGCAATTATCTTTTCATGTGACATTAGATCATATGATTATATATGTATAATGTGGCTAATTGTAATAAACTAACCTTTCTTTATACTAACCCTAATTTCAACCTTAAGTTACCTAACCCTAATGCCTAATCCTAATACCATGCCACAAGTTAAAGGATGAGTTTATAGTGTGACAAATTTTCCTTATTATATAACCATATGGGAGCGTTTCCAGTAAAATCACATTACGGATCATATGATTTACTATGCCTCATGACTTGATTTTACTGGAAACGTTCCCATATGATACAAGTGTAAAAATGTGATTTAATCAAATATCATGTGGGATGCACTGAATGTATGGATGCACTGTTTAAATTTTTCCTAATTTATTTAAATATTATAAGGATACTTTATAATAGAAAAGAAAAAATCTTTTAAAAAAATATTTTTTTGAGTTAATGTTAAATTTAGACATATTTTATTAAAAAAAAAATAATATTTTTAATTTAATTATAAAGCAAAATTTTAATTTTTGTTTTATTCTTTCTATTTACTATAAAGATTCTATAAATTAATTAGTAAATTTTTTGATATTTGATTAATTAAATTATACATTTAAAAATTACTTGATTTTATTATTTTTATTACCTTTTAAATTCATAAATTTTAATAAATTTATATTAATATAAAATAAAGTAATAACTTATTTATTATTTATTATAAATAGTGTATACAGTCTAAAGCTATTACTTTTAATTATATGTTTTAAAAATAATAGAGCTAATTAATTAATGAACTATTATAAATAAACTCTTTATTAAATAATATATTAAATAATTATCTTTTACATAACAGAATTTATTTTTTATTAAGTTATCTATAGTAAATATTATATTAATTAAAATTAGGATATAAGAGCTTATTAATACAAAGTGGAAAAATCTAAAAAAAAAAAAGTAATTAAATATAAATCAAATTTATCATAAAATAATCTATAATTTTTAAATTGAGTTAAGCTTAAAAAGTAAATACAATATAATTTTTATGCTTATATTTTTTGATTAAAACATAATTTATATAAATTATATAATTCTTAATATAACATATGTTTCATGTGATATGATATAAGCCTGAAAAATTTGGTTACAAAATAAAAATGGTGATTTTAAACTATAAACCTTTACAATAAAAAAAGAAAATTTATAGAGAAAATAAAAATAAGTTTATAGTAAGTTCAAATCTATTTCAAGTTTAAAATTTATATTTGACAAATAAAATTGATTTTTTTGCTAGGTTTTTTCCTTTCTATTATATAATTTATATTATTATAATATAACTAATAAAGATGATATTGCAACTAAATCTTATTAATTGCAACTAAAGATGAGGGACGAAACTCAAAAAAGGCAATTAATAAACAGCCGAAACTATATTAAAACATAGTGAGAGGCAGTGATGTACATTTTCGATGTCCCAAACATTTTGAGACTGTCCCACACTATGTCCCAAAATGTCCCACATTAAGTCCCAATGTCCCAGGCCATGTCCCAAAAATGTTCCATGACAACACTGGTGAGGGGTACGACGAAATCCCGAAACCTGAAATTAGCCGAAACTATATTAAAAACATAGTAAGGGATATGACGAAATTATTTTGAGGGAGTTTCGGCTGGCATCTTTAATTGCAACCTGTAACTTGTATCTCTATGTTTTTATATAGGCCACAATCACAACTATTTTTGAAAATAGGTTGATGAATTATCTTTAATAACTAATATATAAATATTTTGTATTAGAGAAGACTTTTAAAAAAGGTTTTTTTTAAAAATCAATATTAATTAAACTTATTTTATTAAAAAACTATATTTAGTATATAAAACAATAATTAAATAAACATATTGAATAAGATTTTAAACATGAAATTGTAATTAAAATCTGTTTTAATTATCTAATTATCTAATACTAATATTAAATTTTTTGTATTATTTTTTATAATTTTTAATAATATTTATAATCTAATTAAAAAATAGTTATTTTTATCTTAAATCTGATATTTTTTATAGAAATAATAATTATATAATAATTCTAAGTAAATTTAATAATAAAAAATAATATTAATTATTTTTATTCAATTATAAAATATATTTAAATTAATTTTTGATTATTTATATTTATAAAAATTTGTCTTAATATTAAATTATATCTTTAATGATCTTTAAGTATTCATTAATTTACTTTTTTTTATTCTCTAAAATTAATATTTTTATTGTATAAGCCAAAAGGCACGGTTCGGATCTGACCGGATCAGATTTAGTGTAATCCTAACCGGATTGTATCGGATCGAATTGTAATCTGATTTGTCAAAAGTAAAGTTGACTCATTAATTCCGGCCATGGTAATTTCAAGTTCAAATCAGTATATATAGAATGATATGCCATGCATATGTGTAGTTCAAAATAAAAATAATTTTTTATTTAAAATGTTGCCAACGATCGATCTTTTTGATCAAAAATTTTTATCAAATGCTCATTTCATCGATCTCATAAAATCCCTCAATTTACTCGGGGATATTATCTTAAATATACCCACTCTCGCCGATTCATCTTCAATAGATAAATTCCTTGAAACTCATCCAATAGATTTATATTGGGTAAATCCAATTAAAGAACAAGAATTCACTGATAATGAAACCATCATACGTTTATTGAATCAAGGAGCCGAAAAAATTATTATCCCGTCTTCAAATGTATTATCTTTGGATTTTAGTTATATACCAGCAGATAGATTAGCTGTTAGTATAAATTTAGATCAATCAAAAGATACTGAAGAATTAATTAAAAAATTAACCGGGTCGGTTTCTGCATATTTAATTAACGTAACAATCAATTCAACAAAATCTCTTCCTGAAAATTTAATTCGAAATTTAAGCGATTTAACTAAATTAGCACAAAAAAATTTATTACCATCCGGAGGCCAAGTAAAAGTAGGAATCATTTTATCGGATGCAGTTAATTGCAATACTACACCTTCAATCGAAATAATTAAACAATTATCGGGAATTTCCGCGTGTTTAGTTGCATCTATTGAGAAACTTACACTTGATCATACAAACGATGAAGAATCGATTAATATTTCAAAATCATTAACTTGCACTTTGAAAACAGATCGCCCCGATGAATTATTTACGACTATTGTCGCGGATGAGCGGGGTGAGGCATTAGGAATTGTGTATTCTTCTGCCGAAAGTATCCAAGAAGCGATTAAAACTAGAACAGGTGTATATCAAAGTAGAAAGCGAGGTTTATGGTATAAGGGCGCTACTTCAGGAGCAATTCAGGAATTAGAAAAAATTCAAGTTGATTGCGATTCTGATTCGCTTAGATTCATCGTAAAGCAACATGGACCAGGTAAAAAAAGCGGGAGTGGAAAAAATATATTTTTTATTCAACAATAATCTAATTCTTCTTTATTAAGGGTTTTGTCACTTGAATGTTCGTACGTGTTTTGGTGTTAGTAAAGGATTGGCTGCACTTGAGCAAACTCTTCAAAATCGAAAGGAACTTGCACCTCTTGGCTCATATACAGCAAAATTATTTAAAAATCCAGATTTACTTCATTCAAAGATTATGGAAGAAGCCGATGAACTGTGTTCAGCCAAGACCAAGGACGAAATTGCTTGGGAAGCAGCCGATTTAATATATTTTTCACTTGTGAAATGTGTAGCAAACGGCGTTTCTTTAAAAGATATTGAGACGCATTTGGATAAGCGGTCAAAAAAAATCACTCGTAGACCCGGAAATGCTAAGCCCAAATGGGATGTTACATCAACAAAGCGGAATGAATCACTAGCGAAGCCAGTACCCACTTCCTCATCAACCGAAAGTGAAATCATTAAAATGCAAAAATTCAATTTATCAGATATAAGTGATACACAAAGGAAATCACTTCTTCAACGTCCCATCATTAAATCTGATGATATTATGTCTCGAGTTCGTCCAATTGTAGAAGATGTTAGAAAAAGAGGTGACACTGCACTCGTTGAACTCACAGCAAAATTTGATGGTGTGAAACTTGAATCTCCCGTAATTTCGGCTCCTTTCCTTCCAGAGTCGATGGCACTTGATGAATCCACACGTCTTGCTATCGATCAAGCGTACGATAATATCTATAAATTTCATGATGCGCAATATGATCGATCTACTTTAGTCGTTGAGACGATGCCAGGAGTGATTTGTTCTCGATTTAGTCGTCCAATTGAACGCGTTGGATTGTATGTTCCTGGTGGAACAGCAATCTTACCTTCCACAACACTCATGTTGGGGATTCCCGCTAAGGTTGCAGGGTGTAAACAAATTATTATCGCGAGTCCACCACGAAAAGATGGAACTGTTGTACCAGAAGTTTTATATGTTGCTCACAAAGTTGGGGCTTCAAAAGTATTATTGGCCGGTGGTGCTCAGGCTGTAGCAGCTCTTGCTTATGGAACCGAATCTATCCCTAAAGTCGATAAAATATGTGGACCTGGTAATCAATATGTTACTGCTGCAAAAATGTTGGTTCAAGTAAGAATGATAAATATATATATACTTTTTAATTTTATTTTATAAATAATTTATTAATCGTTCGTTTCTTTTTTATAGAATGATAGTTCTGCGATGATTTCTATTGATATGCCAGCGGGACCTTCAGAATTGTTGGTCATAGCAGATGATACGAGTAATCCAGCATATGTTGCTTCAGATTTATTATCACAAGCAGAGCATGGAGTGGATTCTCAAGTGGTGTTGGTGGCGGTATCACTTACACCTGACCATCTGGCAAGAATTGAACGTGAAATTCACGTACAAGCAAGTGTGTTACCAAGAGTAAATATTGTTAGTCAATCGATTCCAAAAAGTTTTATATTACAAGTAAATAGTTTGGAAGAGGCCATGAAATTTTCTAATGATTATGCTCCTGAACATTTAATTTTGCATTTGGATGAGGCTGAAAAATTACTTGAAAAGGTTGAGAATGCTGGAAGTGTTTTTGTCGGATCTTATTCTCCGGAAAGGTACGTAATTAGAAGTTCTTGAAATTAATTTTTTTTTTAAAAAAAATTACTAAATTTTTTCTTTACTTTGTTAGTTGTGGAGATTACGCATCTGGTACAAATCATACATTGCCTACATATGGATACGCAAGAATGTATTCTGGAGTAAATACTTTGACATTCTTGAAACATATTACATCTCAACAATTAACTAAAGAAGGATTACAAAAGTTGGGAACTACTGTAATGAGATTGGCAGAGGTTGAAGAATTAGAAGCTCATAGAAATGCTGTTCATGTTAGAGTCAAAGACATTGAAGCTGAAATGTGTCAAAATAAGTAACAGGAAACAATTTTATAATTTTTGGGGACTGAATAATGTTGAAACTGTTAAAGGATTAAAATAGACATTTATTTCTTTCAATAATTTCGTTACCTTTTTTAACGACTTTTCTTTAAAAAAAAAATTACCTTTATATTTATACAATTAGTTCATCTCTAGCGAACCATATTAAACTCCCTTATTAAAATATCTCAAAGGAAAATGACCATCTGTATTTTTTTAATATATTTTATTTTATTTTTATTTTTATTTTTTTTTTTTTAGAAATAAATAATAATTATTTGTGACCAAGCTTTGGATTCTGAAGTCGAATTTGTTATATAACCATTAAATCAAAATACAAATAATTTAAGTTAAAATATAAACGATCAAATAAACCAATAAGATTTTTTTCCAAACCGTATTTGATTTACTAGATAATAATTCTTGCAATTATCTTCTTGTCCGCAAAATACTTTGAAAGAACCATAAAGGATTGTTGCCCTCTACCGAAGGATTGATATGTTGGAAACCCAATGAATTGCTTCATTCATTAAAAAAAGATATTAGAATATAAATGAAATAATAAATAGAATTACAACAAAAAATGATAAGAAAAATGATTCAGAAAAGATTTTTTTTATTTCACGTCAATATCAAAGAAGTTTGAGGTTGAATATTCATCATCTTTTTTTACATAAAATTAAATGTATATATTTGAATTTGACTTACAGAGCAATATGACATTTAGACCAAAGTAATCCCCCAATTATCGTTAAATCACTAATTTAAAAAAATCTTTTTTTTCTTTATAAAGCGAAACAATCTAAGTTACAAAATGAAAAAAAAAAATTTCATCGATTATAAGGATTGTAATGATTGACATGAATTACATCATTATGCATCTCAAAATAGATGATCTGTTTCAAAATTTAAAACAGATAAACCATTTGTTTTGCTTCTTAGTATTTATAAAGTTAATAATTATTTTAGATAATTCTTTCTCTCCATGACCCTAGTCTAAATTTAACAACTTTTCACCACATTTTGGTCAATATTGTTCTTTATTAGTGATGTTATCCTATGTAGTCAATCTAAGGTCGACCGACAACTATGTAAAAATAAAAAATCAATCAATTTATTAAACAGTTTCGAGTCAAAGTGAACAACTTAAATTTCCGACTAAAATGATTGTATAATTCATAGTTATGGTTAAATGGATTAGTTTGCTAATTTTCATATGAGAAGTCACGACTTAAAATTTGCCCCATGGTTTTCAATAGATTCTTTATATATGAGAGGATCCATAATTATTGATTTATTATTTAATGTTCAAGTACCTCGTTAGAACATATCCTAAAGAATACAAAGGATCGGGATATGATTATGAAGCCAGGTATCTGAAAGGAACGATATATACTGATGTACTGGTATATATGTAATAGTATTATTTTCACCTTAGGGAGATAGAATGAACAATGTATTTTTGAAAGAAATAACTCAAAGAACTAATTCATAATGGTATTGTTATGATTATTATTATTATTTCGAGAATGTCTGTGCAATTACTGCCCACAAAAGTTTGGATTAAAATAATTTTAGGCCAGTTTTTTTTTTTAAAAATCTTAATTTGACCGGTAAATTTGTAACTTCTATCCGGAAAAACGTTTTTACACACGATAAAATATCAATTCTGTCTAGAAGAGAATATACCCGTCGCAAAAAAGTTCATACGTAGAGTTTGTATGTTATACCATAATAAGCTTTTAATAACACGTTAGTAAAGAAAATCGGTAGAATATTTTTCTTTACATAAAAGAAAGAACCAATCGGGGTTGTCCTTGAACCTACCAAACAAATATGGTGATAAGTGCATAAAAGAAAAAGAAAAGTTGGATGGTTCGCACATTAGTCATCAAAGGACATACTACAAAGAACGAGAAATCACGTCAGATAAACATTCATAATGACCAAAATAATCTTATAAATTTAAGCCAGACATTTGTATTGTTTTTTTTTATTAGTCGAACATACCAAAAATAACAATAATCAAAACGGCAAACATGCTATAAAAAACAATTTGTATTAAAATTAGTCGGTCACTAGATCTCAATAATTATTAACCTCTTCATTTGCCATTTCTTTGATACTTGTAAATCTTGTAAATTGGATTTGTTCTATATTTTATTCTAAATAAGCATTTCAAATTATGTAATATATCACAAGGTTACAGCATTTTTATTATTTATCACCACAGGCGCAACTTATGTAGTTCATTGATACCTTTGTATCAGATGTTCATACATTGCGTCGCACATTGTATCAATAAGCAATAAAGTTATTTTACAGTTACAGGTTTTAAAAAGTTACAAGTTTCAATAAATAAAACAATCAAAAATTGCACAATGGAGGAGGTTTCCGGTGAGTTTCCGTTTAGTATGACTTTTCTGTATATGAATTGTCAATTTAAGGAGACCCTTTTTTTTAAAAGATACTGACTGGTTAAAAAAAAAATTTTTTTTTTTCTCTCAGCCCTTTGGTTTAAATTAGAAAATGAATTTGTAATTTATTCAAGTTATCAATATAAAAGTAAATCATGTGTCATGATAAAAGAGATAATGCACATCAAAAAAATTTGTAAATCAATTTTTTGATTAAGAAGAATTAAAAATTAATGTCGAAGAAGTTAATAACATTGACATCATTGAGTATTGAACACCGTAACACCGCTTATGTCCCCTATAAAGGACAAAGAAAAGGAAATTTAGAAGTCAAAATACGCATTTCCATCAAAATCGGCTTCATTTTTGAAGAAAATTTTACGTCCAAGATATTCATCATTTTTTAAAATCGAATTTTTTCATGATTGACATCATGTCAAAAAAAAAACAATCGTGTTATAGATCTAAAAGTTGATTAAAAAAATTTTTTTTTTCGTGACCACAATAATAATATTGTGAATCATTAACATTATATTATCATTGAAATCCGGAGAACATTACTAAAAACAATCATTAAAGTTTGGTCTCGTGGGTTCGAAAAATTGATTGCATGCATGAAATCGGAAATTTAGTTTGGTTAGAACAGCAGGCGAAAAGGGTTTCTTGCGCGACGACATGTGAAGTCACGTTTACTCTTTTTTGGAAATAAAATTTTTAGAAACATGGTGAGATTTAAGAGAAAGGTAAAAACCGGAAAATTTCAAATTATGTTATTGATTTGCACCAATTAGAGTAAATGACGCGATAAAAAAAAAAAAACCTTCCAAATATAATGATATTTGTTGAACAGGGTTCATTTAAAATTTTCACACACACCTCTCATAGTTTATATGTATAATAGATGATATTTAATTTGCGTGGGCGTCAATATTTGTCGGGCGTTCATCTGTAATAGATTGATAAATATTTCATTGATCATCAATTTTGTATTTTGACTATCAACAAAGAACGATTAAATGCTGTTAAACATTATCCGTTTATTATCGGTTAGAATGCCCTCAAGTTTAACGGTCAACACCGTTGCACGGATCTGTTGTGCTATATCGTGTGACATGTTTGATTGGCCTAGCTTTCTCGTTCACGATAAAGATCTTGAATCCTTTCCTTTTTACCGCTTTGCTTATGTGAGATAAATTGCTAATTGTGGGGTTGATATGCATGTGGATTAATAATTAGGTTTCACGAATTCCTTCATAACTTGAACATTCGTAGTATAAATCTATCTCTCCATCAAAAGAGGTGAACCATTTAGGTGATATATCTATAAAATGATGATCATGTAAAAAAATTCTTTGAAAAAAAGAGATTTTTTTGTTTGTGAAATTGAAAATTTTATTAATTTATTTTGGAAACTTAATTTCCATGTGGAATCATTCAATAAAACATTATGAAGGTTTTGTATCAAAAAGAGAAGTACCACGTTTTCTGTCTACGTAAGATGCGTCAAAATTCTCGTGTAACGTAAACAAACGTCCGCACAGATCTTTATTCGCAAATGCCCGTTTATGGGAATAAATAGTTACCGGTTTACGGGGGAAGGTTACATCCTAATTCGCGCCCTTAATTTAACTCAATTTAATTTATTAAAAATTACTTTAAAAAAATTTATAATAGGTCACAATTTATTGGATGATTTTTTTTTTATTTCTTACACATTAAAACATTATTACCACCCCTTCTGAACCTGTTAAAAATCTTTGTGAAACATAATAAGAAATATTTTATATCACATATTCTAAAAGAAGTGGAAGGATGAATTTTCTCATTGATCGGAGCGTGTCAAAAGATGAATTTGATTGTTTCATTCCATATTGGGATACGCGTTGTTGCTAATGACGTCACGAAACAATACTTGTCTCATCACGTGATCAACTCAAGTGGAATAAGCTTTAACAACCTAAAATTGTTCGCCAAAAGTCATGAACTAGCTATCTTGAATCATGCCTCCGCATCTCGTTAAATTTCTCTATTGGCTCGAGCATTTAAATTGATTTTCCTTGATCAATTCAAAATATTCTAAATATATCCAAAGCATCGTGAATATCCTAAAGAATAAAGTTCCCAATGGGAATTCACAATATGGATTAATATTTATTCCGAAATCCCGAAACTAAAACTTAAAAAGCGATCCATAAAAAGTTGTAAACAGATCGTAAAATGGGGATAATTGAAAATCTCCGATCTTGCTATTTTAATGTTTAATCATAAACACACGATATCACGAGGTGTAAACTGGACAAAGAAAATTTCTAAAAACTGATTTTTGTTTGTTACATTATGAAATTTTAAATTTGATTGTAGAGATCAATAGATAATAAATAAATAAGTTATCACGCATATAAAAATAAAATTATCACATTACTCATGTATGTTTTTATTTTTAATTAGATAAATGAGAAGGTAACCGTCCATCACCTTATCGCTAAATAAACCTTTCATTCCATTAATATATGCGATATTTGATTTTATTCATTATGTGTCAATCGGGGATCATGTCACGCGAAGATTCGAAACCTTTGTTTACCATACCAGTAATTTGACCAAATTATCTCTTAACGTTACCTTCTGCAAATTAAATGAGGTTTCTTACAAAACAAAAAAGGGTCAAAGATATATTTAGAAAAATTTAACAGTTATGCAAATGTAGGGTTGCCGTGTAGCAATGCACGATTAAATTCCAATTCTATAAAAAGTTTTAACGTTTCTCTATATATATAATGAATTTAAATTGATTTCTTTTATTATGCCAATCTTCCTAAATATTTATATAGAATAATCCGTTCTATTTTATTTTCTATTAAAAGCTGCGCAATTTATTATTTGTAGTATATTAATTTATTTTGATGTACAACCAAATATATACGTAATTTGTATTTAAAATTAGGACGATCATTCTGTAAGTTTATATAAAGGGGACGGTCAGGTCAGAAAAAAAGACAATTTTGCAAATAAACCACCCGTTTGGTTTCGTTTCTTGATTATTAATATTTTTTTTTGTGCGACATTCTCTAATCGAATTAAAATTGAAACTTTAAAAAGTTTAGCGAATTATCGAGTATTCGCTTATTTCAAAATATATTCAGTTTTATTAAAAAAAAAAAAAAAATTTACTGAGATCGAATGAAAGACACTTTTTACAATTGCAATAAAATGATCCTAAAATTAGTTCGGTGACAATTAACATTTCTATCGTTTCAAGTACAAAAAGATCCCCTATAATTCCTTAATTTTATTTATTTTATTACGTATTTTCAAACACTTCTTCCCGTAACACCTTTTGAAATATATAACAAAATGAGTTTGTTTGTATTAGATAATATGATCATCGACGAATCAGGTGGTGATTCACATGAGAATAAACGAGTAAAAATTACTACTGCTTGTGATGCATGTCGTAGAAGAAAAGTCAAATGCGATGGTGCATCTCCCTGCACCAATTGTCAACGTGGAGGTAAACATTCAATGAAAAAAAAAAAATAACATGCCATGATTAAAAAATAAAATAAAATAAATTATTAAGCCCTCATATTTTTTAGGTTATCAATGCTCATTCAGTGATGCATCTTCGAAAAGACCTCGGGGTCCTCCTAAAGGATTTGTTGCCTTGATCGAAGACAGATTACATACGATCGAGTCTCTTTTAGTTAATCTTGTGAATAAAGATGATCTTTCGGCTCTTACAAAACGCGAGCGATTAGATTCTACATCGGCTGAATCTTCTTCGGCTTTTCAACAATGTCAAAATTCTAACGATTTCAAAGATCCTCAATATACGACACTGGCTCGACAGAATCATTTAATTATCCCTTCCACCCCACCATCGGATTCTCAGATATCAGATGCGTCACGAAATCATCTTCCCGGTTACACGGACGAACTGACCATTGTAGATGAGGAAATTCTTTTAAATAATTTGGTTGATCCAAACCTGTCCAACTCGTTGCAGAATAAAAGTATGTCCTTCTTAATGCTTGATGATACCGATGGACCGTCCGATTATGTTGAACCTGCATTACCAACCACGATCGTTGATTTAAAGCAGATTCCCGAAGAAATTTCCAGACATTTGTTTGAGAAATATTTTAACAATTTTCATCCATATTTTCCTATTGTTAATCGTGTACAATTCTTTCGATCCTATAATAACGTCAATGTTCAAGATCAACCTTCAAAATTATTAGTTGAAACTATTTGCACCATTGGGGCAATGTATCCACCTACCAAAAAACAGAATGAGGAATATAGTTCTCAATTTTTTTATGAGAGGGCAAAAAGTAAGTTTTTAAAAAAGTAATTTGCATTTCTATCAAATCTTGTTTATAAAATAAAAAAATAACTAAATAATAAATTTTATTTCGTTCAGATTTGTTGGATCGTTTTATTGACGTTCCTAGATTATCAACAATCCAAGCGTTGGTTTTACTTTGTTTAGTACATCAAGGTAAACCATCCTCATATCGTTCCCAAACGTATTCTTCCACCGCGATTAATATGGCACAATCTATCGGCTTAAATCGCAAAAATGGCGCAGCATATAAAGGGGACAAAAATCGTCAAACGAAAAAATTGATTTGGTGGGGATGTTTTATCCTTGACAGATTAACCTCTCTCATGACCGGTGATCCATTAATAATTAATGATAAGATGTGTGATATTGAACTTCCTTCACTCGATGATTTAGAATTCAATGATGATACAGATTTTTCGAGTGATAATGAGGAAAGCTCCCATAATTTCCAACAAGGTGAAGCTTCACAACGACAGGGTTCAAGGTCTACTTCTCCAACTTATAATTCAATACACACACAACAAATCAATACCTTCATCAATTATATTCGTCTTACAAAGCTTATCGGACAAATTTTAGAACATTTGCAAACAAGTTCGTGTGAAGGATTACAAGCCTCGTGGAATCACCATTCTATCATTAACGTTTTTGAATCCTCATTAACTGATTGGTTAAGGGAATTACCTTCATATTTGAATTATGCTCCTTCAACGCAGCTTTCAGGACAAATTGCCAGTTTACACATGTATCATCAGACTTTATATTTATTATTATATTATCCATATATAGCAGAGTATAGCGATAAAAAAGATCGAAAGATTAGAACGACCAAGACTTTTACCAAAAGTATGAATATTTGCAGTTCAGCGGCTAGCATTATAACTAACCTCGGAGGTATGTCGTAAAATTCCTGTTGTTTTTTTTTTTTTTCATTCCCCAAAGAAAAATTTTTTAACATCTCATTATTCTTATCTAGTCGAATCATTAAATAATGTGCAAACATGCATCACTTTTCCAGCAATGTTTTATTGCCTTGGCAAAGCAGCAAAAGTTCATTCAAAAAATATCTTATCTCCACAACGAGCTTTAGCAATTGATTCATACAGAAATATCGTTAAAACCATTAGAATTTGTCAATTTTATAAACAAAATAATATCATGAAAGAATTGGCGCAAAAAACTTTTAACTCGCTTGAAAATATTTTAAAAAAGTATCAAGATAAGTTCAGTCATGAAGAAATCTTTGGTGTAACTCCTAGTGGACAAATCGTTAATCCGGATGGATTAGATCTTATCATAAGTTCATTTGGGTTAAACGCAAATAATATAGCAAGTTCGCCAAATTCTTCTTCGATCGGGATTATTAAAATGAATCCTACGATGTCAAATCAAACTTATTCAAAGTCTTTTGAGAATCATGATAACGATAATAATGATAATAATAATAATAATAATAATCGTAACGCCAATAATAACGTGAAGTCGGTTAGTCCAATGAAATCTGTACAATCGATTTTGTCATTGCAAACATCATCTTCAAATGACAATATCTCTTTACAAAAGAGTCAACAATCAAATGCAAAGTTTGATTTTCTTCATCAAACTAACAACAGTGATGAAAGCCAATCTTTGTTCGTGGATACATTTGATACCCAAATGATTCCAACAAATTCCCTTTCATCAAATGACATAGCAACCACGTCAGCAAATGAACCATTTTGGGTGATGTCGGCATCTCAATCAGCAAATTTACATTCTAGCATAAATTCAAGCCTCGTTGACGGAGAATTTGATACGCATTCCACGTTTGATCATATGACTATCACTGATTCCCCAGTTTCGCCACCGACCAATTATTTTTCCTCACAATCGCGACGAGCTCAATCACTTCCTTCCCCGTCATCACCTGTAAAATATTACATGCCAAACGGTTATAAATCGTCCTTGACATCCAATTCTCGACCAAATCAAATGTCACTTGATTCCATTGAACAAGAAACTCATACCTCACCGAATAGTTCTCCTACCTCACAACATTCACAAAGGTATGTTTCTCAGAATACAAATAAAGACAATGAAAATCAAAACGATTCATTTTCTTCCGAAAATAATAATAGTTTTGTTATGTCAGAAAGAGATGAATCATCAATGTATGATGACGATAATAGCCGTATGCGATTTTATAACAATAGTTCAACTGCAAAGAATGAGACCAATTACCAAGAAGTTTTTAATAAAATACCTACAACAGCATCACCTTCACAATCAGATAGAAGGAGATCCCCACCTTCTTCATCTTCGGGCTTAAAAAAAAAAGCTAACAGTTATACCGAACCCGCAATTCATGTATTAAGTAAAAGACATAAATATTGTGGAGCAACAATTCCATCCACTTCGATATGCATCGGATATGACGGGATTGATAATGACTATCAATTTGAACCAAACGTGGTGGAAATTGGTGGGTTTGGATTCGAAAATAATGGAATATGAAAATATACGACAATAAGGAATATATGTTAACTGACAATACAAGAATTAGCTATGTATATATTCAACTATAGATTTATTTATTCGTTTGTTTATTTATGATTTTTTTTTTCTTTACGTTGTTTTTTCGCTTGTATAGATTAGAATTGGCAAAATCTGAAAAATATTTTTCCGGGTAGAATCTCATTTTTATTATCGATTGAATGATTTACATACAACCCGGCTTTTTTGTATAAAAATCCTATTCAATTTTTATTTATTTTATTTTTAAAATCGTAAATTTACATCTTTGCATTTTCTCGTTATTTGTTTTATAGTTTTTATTCAACTTTCAAACATCATCAATATTCATTAGTAAATATTTATTCATTCGTAAATTTCTGTTTTTTTTTCATCATCATTTTGTATTATCTTTATTCTCGCAATTCATACCGTTATATTAAATAATTCCTTTCGTTGGATGAAATTAAGCTATTTTATTTTTATGAAATTAAGTAAATCATTATAAAAAAATTTTCGAGATGCATTTTTGGGGGAAGTATCACGTGCCTGAGATAAATGGGACAATATACGCCTACATTAAAACCTATCATTACTAACAAAACCCCACATTAAGCGAAGTTTAAATTAGGTAATAACAAGTCCTAACTTGACACCATGGATATTCACGTGACTTATGGATCAAATGCTGTCAGAAAGCGAAAATGTTCATTTTTGTCTCATTCAACTGCTATTCCACTTGGATCATAACCAGCCATGAATGTATGTACACCAGGATCCAGAGAAATCACTCCTATTAAATCATTAAATATATAATTAATAGAAGTTTTAATTTAATAGAAGATAAAAACTTTTTGAAATATAGGATCTTAGTTATCAACCCATATTTCAAGTGGTCTGGGTATACAAAGGTAATATTCACCAAGCCGATTTATAACAAGGCGGCTATCATATTCAAGTTTTCTGGAAGAGGCTCTGATAATTTGATTTTAGGAAGAAATGAATATTCACCACGAGATTTACTCTAATGCTTTGATAAGACTGCGATAGACTATTGAGAATCATTTTTGGAACGGAACTTTATCTTGAATTTTTTATGATTAGCAGCAAAATTGGAAGAATATCCTTTAAACAAGTCATTCATTGCTTCATCATGAATGTTATAGGGAGTTTCGAGGACCGATTTGAGTTTAGTATCATTGAAAGTTTTTCGTGTTAAGACATTGTATGCATAGATCCTTTTTTTTCATTTGATACCTTCTTTTTCAACTGCAGTAAGACACCGATTATATGTCTATCTTGCACTTTGGTAAGTAATCTTTTTTTGATTCAGGGTCATTAAAAATGTGGTCTTTGTTTAGGAATGTGAAGTTTCTGATAGAACTTTGTTGCTTAAACTATTTTTTCTTATATTTTGATTTTAAAATGTGAGGATCTTTATAAAACTGCATTAATAATTAGTAAGCTCAGTAATACGAAAAATGTAGTTTATTTCAAAATGTTCGAAAATCGTCACAACGGTCCTTTAAAACTGAAAAAACTGTTTCCGGATTAATATTTTAGGCTGTGCAACATATGAGTGAAAGGAAGAGAAGCTTCTATATTAATTTAATCATGATACGTAATTTCCAACTGATCAAAATAAAAAAAAAAATAAGTTTCCAAAGATCATCTGTCTCCTCAAGACGAGATCATTTTTGAATTTTAATACTATCATTATAAAATAAATACGATGTAATTAATCTTCACAAACTCGTATCACCATAACATCAAACCGAAAGTATTATCTAAAATATTTATAAATTTTTTTTTTTAAAAAAAAAAAAGAATATCTTTTTAATCTCCTCATTAATCTACGTAGATTTCGAAATTCGAAAAGTCTTGCCATTTAAAATTCAATTTGGCGGCATCCCAATCTTCTTCGTCTTCAACCGTAATTAGATTACCATCGACATCCTTATATTTAATAGAAGCTATTTCAAAACCCAATTTTTTATGAATTAATTTCAATAAATCCAAAAAGGATTCTTCCATTTGTAAACAAATTGCCCTCTTTAAATTCAAAGAGTAACATGTAATATTATACTAAATAATTTAAAAGGAGTTTAATGTTGATTTCGCGAAGATCTTTTTTTTTTTACGATCATGAAAATTCATCACCTCGGGTTTATAATTTAATGGTGGAATATTGGTTATCAGATCCTGATTTTTTGTGATTTATGAGAGATCAAAGTGGAAGACGTTAAAGAATCGAATGTAATGTTTTTTTACCTTATCAACTTGCTTTGTTTCACCAGTTTCATAATTTTTATCTTTATCTGTATTCACCTAATAATTCAAATAAATAATAATGATAATGATCATAATGATAACATTATCGTAATATGATACCTACAGTACCAATTGGAACACCCATCCACTTAATTCCAACTTCAAACATAAAAATTGTCATGGGATGAACTTTTTCACAAGGTGTAAAAATTATCTTTGTAACACCTTCCATGTAACCGGTTGGATCCTTACGGGTTAAAAAAACCGTATTTTGATTAAGGTCATGAACAAAATACTAAAAGTATCCAAGATTAGTCATTTATTCCAATTTAAACATGAAAAAAAAAATTTAACCAACAAGAAACAAATTGACCTACAGTCCTATGAAAATCCTTACGAAATTCAATTTCAATGTACTTATCTTGGATAACTTTAAATCCAACAACTTGTTCAATGGGAATCCTTACTTCATTAAGTTCTTGGCCTTCAATAAAATCAATCGCTATGCTTTTAATGGTATATTTAAGTAATAATTCAATTTGTCTGCATTGATATCTTCGAATGATATCTCTACTTGGAAAAAAATATATTTCTCTAAGATCGATTTTTATCCAAAGTTGTTGTCCTCCATAATGATTATGACCGTTTTGACGATTCATAGCTTTATTGGGAAATATATTTATCTCTTTTTAAAAAAAAAAAATTAGTAACGGTATTATTCTAATCCCAATTTCCGAGTTAACGTTTGACCTAGACTTTAAAAATTCAAGATATTCATGAAAAAAAGCGTACATGATGTTTGCAACCGAAAATCTTTATTTTGTTTAACTCGGATAAGAAAAAAAAATTAGAGATCTGAAGAAATTTAATGCGAAAAGTTTGAGCCCATGTTTCAACATTATGTTGTGTTGTGTAAATCAACCCATAAATCGGCGTAATCAGCTTTAAGCTAACCCAACTAGAGAAGTTCATAGAATTGGCTGATAAACAATATTTTCCCTATATCGCCGGCATTCCACCCTTCTTGATTAAAAGTGGTAAATATATAATTTGGTTGGTATAAAATAAAGAAGGTTCTTTAAAAAGATAGCAAGTCAAATGTGCAGAAAGTACCCCATGATTTCCTATTTCTTATTAAAAATATGCCTCGATTGATATTTAAACTAATGTTAACTTTGTATGTCAAACGAACTTAATTCATGCAAAAATATAAAGGGATGTGATCAACTTACCCAATCCAAGGCACATTACAGGTTTTTGAAGATCATCAAGATACATGAAAAACAATGACCGGAAAAGATTTACCCTTAAGGATATTCTGGATGCACTCACACGCGAAGTTCATTGAATTTGGGAAGAAGGTTTGTAATCAAAATTTTTCGGAGTGAAACCTTGAGAAAGTTTGATGCATTTTGAACATGATAATATGCACTTATGCATGCGGTAACGACCATAAATATACAAAAAAGTTTTTAACAAATTTATTTAACTATTTTTGGATTTAAATTTTTCTCACGAATAATTATTAATTGATCAATGCTTTAAAAATCACAAGGAAAATTTTTGAAGGGGGAAATATTAATCTATTTAGTTAATTTAGTTATTATTTATAATACGTGATGACTAAAAAAAAAATCTAAATTATGTCTATTAAAAAGGTTTTATTGGACTATTCCGAATATAGGGTCATTAATTAGCCTACTTTCTTCATAATTCGGCGGGGCTTATTTCTTCATTATAGAAAATATTTCGCATTCTATCCATCTAAATCTTCCTTCAACTTCCAAAACGTTACTTTCATAAGTATCTTTACGCGCTTCCCCACTTTTGTCTGTATTCATCCGGACCCATAGATCCGGACCTTTACCAAACTTTGGCCCAAGCCAAACTAAATCATCAATTTCCTTATCGCGTTTATTACCAGCTATTCGTGCAATTCGAGCATCGTAAGGTGAAGTTCCATCCCCAAGTGAAAAAACAAAACTATCCTTTGTGCCTTGCCCCTGTCCTAATTTCATACTTTTCCATCCTATCGGATTGTATCCACCTATTAATTGTCCAGATTCGCTAACTCTCAAAACTAAAATCACAGGCCCTTTGCACGCACATTGTTGTCTTAAAGCTTTAATAGAATATCCATCTCGACTTGCCCGGAAAAGTAATGTAAAATTGTATTGAATTCCTTGTTTAACAATGGGTTCATTATCTAACCACCTCGCGATAAGGGCCGTATGCTGTGGTCCAATAATGGTCGAATCAATTTTGATAGGTGACACTCTTGGGGGAAGAATTATGGTCGATTTGGGTTGATCGTTAGCAAGGTAGTAGCACAAGAGGTCTTCTTGTAAATTTTTTGGGAGTATTTGCTTATATGGTCTAACGTTGTGACAATAATCAGCAGGACTCATTTGAAAAAGTCTTAAAAGCGGGATTATCCTATGCATCGTCCTTTCCAGATACATGAAATCTTCCTTTTTCCAGTTAGAAACATTTTCTTTAAGTTTTGAAGTGTTGGCTTTACCCCATTGAATAACCTTATTCCAGATTTCAATTTCTTGCAGACCAAGATCATCACGTTGAAGTACAGATACAAGTACGTCCTCGTCCACGGAATTAAAATCTTTTGCCTCGAATAATATTCGAGCATCTTCCGTTATTAATTTATTACAATAGCTTTGAAGGTCTTGATATGATTTTTGCTTTATAGCTGAATGTAGAATCTTTACGAGATTTCGTCTTATCCAATCAGGTTTATTTCGAATGAGATGGTCTTGTACGTGTTCTAACAATTCATGAAGAAGAAATTGGTCAGCTGCCGCAAGTATTTCAAAAAGATCATTTCCTTGACGTTCGTCTAATATTATGGTTCCACCATAAATATATCTAAAGGAAAAAAAAATAAAGGAGGATTTAAAATTAAAATTTCAATCTAAAGTTTATAAATAATAATAATAATAAAAAACTTTCAAAGATGAAACTTACTTTATTATCATGTCAAATATTGATGGCGATACACCAGGTTGTTTAAAAATGATGCATCCATTTTCTTTTCGCGAATATTCGCTGGATAGAGCGCTATGAAAATATAAAGAGCGTGCCCGAAGTATAACAGAATGTGCGCGAAATTTCTTTATATTTGGGCCCTCTCCGATTTCAATAATAACATTATAATCATCGGCATCTTTGAGCAACCGCGAAAAATCTTTGGAGAGACCTGTAAAAAGTTCTGATATCATCTTCAAAAAAAAATTTTTATTATTATTATAAATGAAATAAAATAATGATTAGGATTAATTGTAATGATTTATTCAGAAAAATTGAAAAAAAAAAGGTCAAAGTCTAAGCTCAAGTAATTAAATAAGGGAGATTTATGAAAGTATTATACCCGATTTTTCTAGCCAGATTTAGGTTAAATAAGCTTATTTCAAATTTAGGTATCAATTGTAAATCACTAACTACTATTCTATTACATTCCCTCGGTTGGCGTGCATAATGTTTCGGGGAAATATTTCTACGATTCGAAATAATGATCTAACCTTGAGATACCCATTATCTTTTGCAATTGTATTTGGATTTGACTCAAATATACAGACGCAGTTTTTATGACCAAATTGTGGAATGACTTTCTAGTAAATTTGCCCTCAAAAAGTAAATAATATCTTCCAATTTGCTAAGCCCATTTAGAAGGCTCAGCACAAGATGTAACACGATATTGTAAACCAATAAATATCCTACTACTACTTTTCAAAGGAAAATCAAAACAATCATCTTCTTGTTGATTTTATCTACATAAATTAATTTTTTTCTTTATATTAATTTCTTGGTTATATTATAGGCTCCATCAATTTATAGATGTACTACAAATATTTGCGACACATACGAACAAGTCTCACGTGAACATATTTACTGCGGGATAAATAACCAACTTTTATATAGTCTTTTGGCTGATCTGAATTACGGATAATCTCATCTTTAGCTAGTCTTGTCAAAAATCCAATAGCAAAAAACCTAATTTTTGTTGTTTTAGAACTTGTAAAACATGTTTTATCACACAAGAATGAATGGCTGTGCAATTTTTTTTTAAAAAAAAAGCTTTTCAACTGTTATAGAAATGTATTATCAATCAATTTACTCACATTTTCGGTCGAGGTCGACAGCATATGACAATTATTTTCTCTAATAAATGCATTTTTTTTTTAAAAAAAAAGGTAAAAAAAAGTATGCGTTGTTCAAAGTAACGGGACAATCCGAAAGTCACCCCACATTTTTTTTTATGGTTAAACAATTGTACCGTAAATAACTGATGATTTTTGAAACCGTCATTGGGAAATAATAAACTATTACTAAAAAAAATGGACTAGTAACTAAGAAAACATAATAAAAAATAAGTTTAAAAAATGAATAAAATTAATTTAAAAGAAATTATTTTAGGTAATTTTCTCTTTTTGTTATAATCACAAATATATAAAAACAATATTAACATATTATTTCATTATATCACATTTTATAACTAACTAGCCAATATTGTTTTTTCCAGTATCCACGGAATACAAGGAAATAATTATCACGAAAATAGAATGGATGATTTTTAAAGGTCAATCATTATATTTTTGTAAAAAGTTAAAATAATTCTAAAATGAAAAATGAGAAATAATTGATGTATTAATCTATTATTTTTATTAAAAATAAATATCTGAGTATGATTGGTTTTTAGAATATTATATTTCATAAATAAATCACTTGAGATCATTTATTTTTAAACAATTATTAAATAAAAAATAATAAAGATCTTTATTGCATTTGATAAGTAACATAGATGATTTATAGATAAATAATAATAAATAAATGAAACAATTAATAATTTTATTGAAAGATCATGCAAATAGAAAAGGATTTGTCGTGACAATATCAAGTAACCTTTGATATTCAGAAATAACATTTTGATTAGTCATAAATATTGATGTATCAAGATGAGAGATCTTAATGTTATTCTAATTAGAATATCTGCTAAAAGCAATGTAAGCTTAATCAGATGAAAAAATATTTTCATCTAAAGCAAGACAAACCTTTGATAAAATCAAACCTTAAGTTTTGTGTATAGTAAGTGCAAAATTCAAGATACATATACATGAACAATAATGAACAATAATTGATTGTTGATTTTCTAAATTTGAAAATTTTAATCAAGTTAAACAATATATATTATACAATTAAAAATATAATTATATAAGAATGGTTTTGTAATAGTAAAAATAAAAGAAATATATATGTAAAAATTTATGTAATTTTATTTTCAAACAAAGAAAAATTTCTATTAAAACATCATTTATATTGTTATCATCCTCATACATTATAAATAATTTCATATTTTTTCAGACTCTCCTTTCTCCTTGCTTCTTAGCTATGAAATTTTTTGTAAAGTTATTTTTTTTAATGACTTTTATGATTTTTTCTTCTTACTATACTTGGTCATTAATTTTTTTATTATAAGTTAGTTTTTTAACTAATGACTAAAGATGGGAACTGTAATTAATATGTTGCAACTTTTAATGTTGCAACTTACGTTGCAATTAGTTTTAACCT